TTGAGATTTCTTCAGATAATTATTAAAGTTTAATACATAAAATAACTTACGAGTATGGATTTTTACATCAAAACAATACGGAGTTCAGAACACCTACACCGGATGGTCGTCGTGGCCGAACTGCCGTTTCATACATATTCGGCATTATTCGTCGGACTTACAACTAATAACTATTTACAACTATAATTATTTTTTATAACGCACAAAGCATATAATTTCCCACATCCAACCAATTTCTTAGTTTGCTTTTTATTTATAAAAGTGTGGAAAAAAGAGACTCACAAATATAAGTAAGTATAGTATATACTTTAAGTACTATAAGTAAATAGATATGGGATTTATGCACGAATAGTTTTTTCTGTCACTTTTGGATAAGAGGGAACCTAACCTGCGAAGAGGTCAATCATTATAAAATACTTGTAAAATTGTTAACGATGAGCGACCATCCGAAAACTAATGTATTGTTTTCAATTTTACTGACTGTAAGATGATATAATTAATTTAAGGACAAAATTCATGTTATTTCATCATAACTATATTCTCCCCTGTGCAGTATTTAAATTTCCCAGTTGGGGGGGAATTCCCCTCCCTGGTTGGGAACTAGTTCGTTATAAAATAGAAGTAGGGATACATATAATCAAGTAGTAATATATATATATATATATTTCAACTCATAAATTTAGTTCTTCCATTAAAAGTATTTTATAATTATAGTCAATTACATTCCCCAAGTGAATAATATGGAATAATAAACATTATGTACATTTCTTAGAATCCACAAATACAAATAAATAAATAAAATAATAATCATAAAAAACAGACGTTTAATAATAGCGATATTATATATGATGCAGTCTGTACCGTACAGAGGCCCCGAACTATTTTTTAATTGATGTTACAAACGCACATTTTAATCACTAACCCACCCACCCACCCCTACCTAGAAACCTCAAAAATATTACTTCCATTTTAATCCAAGATCGAAATATCTATGCTATTTGTTTCTAGCATTACTTGGCCATCAATTATCAAAGCATTATCATGTTCATATTAAGTAGTCACCTACTACCAAATACCTACTGCTACTAAATACTAGTTTTTTTTTTATTATATGGACCCAGACTAGGTCAACTGTACCCATTCCACAATTTTAAGTGATGCAAATGCACCATCTTAAGTACGTATTCGATGCCATTAGTGTGGTTGAACGTTAATATGTAATATAGCCAGGAACTCGATCCCTACAGATGTTTTAACTTATGTAAGCGAAATAAATAAATTAAAATAATTCTTATGTCGAAAGTCAAAGTATAAAATATTTGTATTGCTATTCATGTGTATTCATTTAAATATTAACTTATCACTCACCATGTTATTTAAATATTCTTTTAATCGTTTCGTAACTGTCACTACGTTAATATTTTATTTTACATACATTACGTGTGAATATAACGTAGACGTATTCTAAAAAGAAGGAAATATTATCCAAAATGTTTAACGTTAAATAGAGGCCAAGTAAACAAGTTGAAACATAATTAGACTTTGAAATACAACATTTACAACATTTAATTGACTGGGTGAAATAAACTGCTTAACATTATTTGCATAAATATTTGCATTCGTGTTTTAAAATTATTTCATGATAACTACCAATTTAGTAATTTTTGATTATCATGTTAATTGATAGTATTGAAAAAAATAATTCTTTTTCTTTGGAGCAATTATTGTTTTACATATATTTTAATATAACAGATATACATATCAAGTACATGTATGAGATGATCTTTCATTAATTCCCTATAATGAATTTTACTTTCAATATATTATATAACATAGTTAATTTTACTCTAAAATGTATAAAAATCCATTATTTCGAAAATAGTATCATATACAATTAAAAAAAAGTCCTTTTTAATATAAAGCTAAATTAGATTTTTTAAATTAATTCGACATCAAAAATCCGATATTAGAGTATAATTTTCATTATCATTTTTTAAACAACAATTGAATTTAAATCGAATTAAAGTTGTCCCTTCTATTTTACGGTTAAAAGTTTAATGCACATCATATACTGGTACAGAAACTTTCCTGTCAAAATTATAACTTAACAAACAAAAAACCTATACAAATAACTATAACTCCTTATCAGCTCCTTTATAATTTCAAATAACATTCTCTTGAGACAGTGAATAGACGAAATACAACTGATTGTATTTGTTTGTCAATAACAAATAATTTTAATAAATAATATAGTATTTCAAAATAGTATATGTAAGATGTAAGTAATATATAAGATTCAATAAAAAAATTTAACATTAGTTATATATCGAATTTTAGTGTTAGACGAATGTTATTGATGTTTATTTTTCAACCAAACCCAAGAATATTTTATTATTTGTTGGTTTTATTAAAACAACATTGAGTATATAACTTTTATTTAATAATTTTCTAAATTAAAGATCTATTTTTCTTCCATTCCATGGAGAAACATAAGAACTTTATAATTATATTACATCTTAGAAATAGTTTATTTTCTGCATGATATTGTAATACATTGATGAATGTAAAACTTTTAAATATTATTATTCGTATGTGTTCCAAACACCTAGGTACGTTAAATGAAAAAATAATATTTATGTTGATTGTCTTATCTTTAATGTAATCCAATCATTTAATTTCACTGAAATTTCATCGGCAAAAATATTTGCCAAAAAACAATATTATTTCGTTCCAATAGCAATAATATTCGTTATTCAGAATATATGGGATTTGGCGCTCACACTCAAACACTAAATTAGTAGAAAAGAGAGATTAAAACTGTACACACGTATATATCTTGAATACTACAAGCAATGGCCGTTCGTTAAAATAATTAAACTAAATATAAGATAAGCTTTGTGTTTTCACATCCAACTAGGAAAAATATAACTTTCTTAGAACGATGGAAACATGTGCAATTTAATGAGGATCGTAAACTTAAAATTCATCCACCTTAGCTCCTAGGTGTCAAATAACCAAATAATATTTTAACTATCTGAACATAACGGCCAAACAAGATGAAATAATTATACAACCATGTCAATTGATCAAAAATCGAAAATATTTGATGAATAATTCCAATAAAAAAAATAGAGTATGTATGTTCATCATTCTATTTTTAACAAAAATTTATAAACATAAGTAGCAACGATATTAAATTAAGTACAAATATATCATTGAATTTATCATTTATTACGATGTGTTACTATTTAGGATTTTCAGAACTTTGTTCAGTACTAAATTTTTTAGTCAATTTTTTAGTGATAACTTATAAAATAATTTTGTATTATTTTTATCTAAACTTTCACGTTTACGCTTTTTATCACTACTGGTCTTACGAAAATAATTGCGAATCTTAAACATTTCGGATTATAACTATTTAATAGAAATACTGAATGAGCCAAATTGCCAAAATTATATCACTTATTTTGGTAATCTTTCGTTTGAATTTTCATTTTATAAAACAATTAATTACTTATTTTATCAGCAAAATTTAAACGTAAGAGTATGCTTGCTAGACAAAAAAAATTATTTTATTCTAAAAAATTGCTAGAGAAATTAATATGATTACCATTTTGAAACATCCCTCTTGATATGTTTTCGGTTGAGCAACACGTAACCAAGTCTTAGTGCTAATCAATAACCCAAGAGTCGACGAAAATAAAACGTGATTACAAAATCATTAAATCACTAAACTAATCGGCCCAGGAATAATCTAAAACGGTATTGAATAGCAAACCAAATGAAGTTTAAATGCAAAAATATACGCTTATTTTCACTAAGAACAGAATACACTTTTTTAACTTACGCTTAGATCGGAGTTAGATTTATAAAACAAAATTAAAAAACATTTAAATTTTATTGAAATTTTTATTGAAATTTCTCACTTGAAAATTATTGCTCCGATTACCAAGAACGGCATATAGACGGATGGTATGGATATTGAACGTATGACCTTTTGCTACTGCTAAATATATATAATTGAATAATATTGAGTATATAGTTTTTGAGTAGAAAATCTGGAATAAATTAATAATAGTTTGGATGAGTGGAGGTTATCTCTTGAAGGAAAGTGATTGAAAGTTAGTAAAGATAAAAAAAAAAGTATAAGGAATATGATTTTGAAGGAAGATACCAAGAAGTTGAGAGGATGAAGAGACCAATGACAATAAGCGGTAAGGTGATAGGTGAAATCGAGATTTTTAAATATTTAGGATAATTTTTACAAGATGACAGAGGTTTTGGCATGGGTGTAAAACATAGGATGAAGTGCAAAATAATGAAATGGAGGGAAGCGTCAAGAGTTTAATGTGATAAGAGAATTCCAATAAAAATTGTACAGGAGTGTAGTGACCAAATGAGACCAAATATGATTCGGAGTGTTGGGCGGGGTTGACAAGAGAATAGAACATGGTACGAGTGTTGTGGAAATGAGAACGCTTAGATGGACGAGTAGAGTGATAAGAGAATATAGAATAAGGAACAAATACGTGATAGGTAATGGAGGTGATATTGGTGTGGTGTTGAGTAGACAAGATGAGAGAGAATAGAACAAAACGATTTGGGCATGTGATGAGGCGAGAGAAAACAAAAGCAGTAAGAGTGGTTATGAAAACGAACGTCGAAGGGAAAAGAGGAAGCCCTACAAAAATAGACGGTTGGACACGACTGACAACGATACAAGGGCTGTTGGTGCGCGCGTAGGGGATGTAGAAAACAGGCCAAAATTGGTCGACCCAGAATAAGTGGGAGAAAGGCGAAGAAGAAGGAGAATAATTATTTTCCTGAACAACACTGCACGTGATCAATGTCATTTCGTTTGCCATCGTTTTGGCGACGGACTGTCCGAACCAAATACCCGGTAATAACCACAACAGCTTCCATCGCACCCCCCCCCCCCTCGGCACAGCATGACTGTCGGACGACCAACGCTGATAAACGCGTGGCGCGTTCTGTTCCAGGTGTGGTGTTGACCAGTCGGGACCGGAGACCGGAGACCGCGCGTGCACGCGACACGATGGACGACTCGTACGGCGACGTCTACGAGCTCAACGACACGGCGACGTTCGCGTGGAGCAACGACACGGCCGCCGCGGGCCAGATGTGCCGTGCGGACACGGACGGGTTGTGGGGCACGACCGCGTTCCAGACGGTTGTCTACCTGATGTACACCGCGGTGTTCGTCGTGTCGCTGGTCGGCAACGGGCTGGTATGCTACGTGGTCATGTTCTCCGCGCAGATGCACTCGGTCACCAACCTGTACATCATGAACATGGCCGTCGGTGACCTGCTCATGACGCTGTTCTGCGTTCCGTTTTCGTTCGTCGCCACGCTCATGTTGCAGTACTGGCCGTTCGGCAGCGATCTGTGTCACACCGTCAGCTTCGCGCAGGCCGTCGCCGTACTGGTATGGAAAACCCACCACCCTACCCCGCCCCAATGTTTGTGTGTGCTCGGGTGGACGGACAGCTGGGATGGGGTGAATGCTATTTTGATATCCAATGATATGTCGCGACCGGGGGCTGTACCGATCGTACGAAATAATTTTTTAATCTCAACTCAAGTGAACTTTTTATAGGGGTTAAGAAAAATTGTATGTAATCGTCCTAGGCGTCCTGCAGCTATCCATCGTCGATGCATTACCGGTATCGTGGTCGACTCCAATTCGACCACGTGGGGGGGGGAGGTGAGAGGGCAGTGGCCCACGGTGTCGGTCCGTAAGGCTCCACTTGTACTGCGCACTATAGTTTATTTAACCAATGCAAATCTACTTTCAAACGCATTTGGCCGAAAACGGTACCTTATAAAACATCGTTTCTCAACCTTTATCATTTAAGGTCCCCTTGCAGAGTTTCAAAAGTTTAACGCACTCTAAACAAAATAAAAAAATGTGACCTTTATTTTAGTTATACTAAGTAAAAAAAAATGTAATGCCGCTCTCGGTTATAAATAATTGTTTAAAGCATGCGGAATGATTAATAAAGATACATTTATATGAAACTGTTCTTACTTTATTTCACGCGTTAAATCTCGATCACCCTCCCTCTTTGGCTTAGAAGTCTGATGGCTCCCACAGGTCGGGAAACACTTTTATAAAGTACACCGACTGCCATGACATGCGTTCGTACATCCCACGACCGTTTATACTTGTACGAATAAATTTACTGATTTTTTTAAAAACTTACGCAAATTGATACACCAATATTTTATTTTTTGATTACATTTTTGTCGTCAGTTAAGTGCGTCGTTATTGTATCGGACTCAACACAGGTTCCATTTTCAGAACGGAAGTTCACGATGTTCCTGTAATGAACACTCATAATTTACTGATTGCATAACTTGTTCCCGTTCATAACAATTATAATTAATAGCTCTGGTCTTGTTATCTTTCGTTAGTGGACGGTGTAGAACGACTTTTTATTTTATTCGTCGCCGTTCGATATTCGATCCGACTCGATGACTACAAATATGTTGAATCAACTTTTAAAATGTCCTTCTTTTTCTATGTCTAAGGTTTTCAGATTAATTTCATATTTTATGATTTGTAAAACTTAAAACAAAGTTACTCAAAACAATTTTTCGTCAGACTTTACTTGGTTAAATTTTTTATTTATATCTGAAGTTTAAATTACGTCATTTATTATTATTTTTATGAATATTGATGGTAATTTTTTTTTTCTTCGAGTTCAGCTTTTTATACTTCTTTTAATACGATTATCAGGTACAACATTTTCTTTCTTAAACAAGTATTTACACTTATTCTATCTCTCAATATATTATTTATATCGGATCATAATTGAATACCTATAATGCGTATTACGCTAAAATTATTAATGCGATGATTCATCATTGTTTTTAAATAAACACAAATCAATTCAATTATTATGAAAATGAGTAAAACTAATATCTTAGAATTATAACTTTATTTGAAGTACGTTCTCTTTTTAAAGAGCAATAATAATTTTAAAACTTTAAATATAACTATATATTATTACACTTAAGTTTTTGTAAGATAAATTATAAGATCAAAATGATTATTAAAAATAATTTTTTAATAACACAAATTAACTAATTTGAAAAAATCCATCATGATGGATTAGTATATGTTTAAGAAAAAAATCCTACCAATCCACTTAGTAGTATAAAAAGTAGTAATAATTAATTTATTTTTTACTTATCTTATTTTATTGTCTTACAAAATTAATTTCATTGTTTCTGCTATTATTTTAAATGTCTAATGCGCAGGTTGACTGTCACACGCTCTTTTTTTATCTTTGCACGAATTACGGATTACTTGATGATGAACAAACAGCATTTATTTGACTAAAAATAATTTATTAAATCTGTAGTGGAAATATTTTAAACCATTCAAAAACCACTTCCGTTACAAACCACTATAATGGTTTCGTCGCTAAAAAATTATCCAACTTCTTATTCAAGAGCATTCAAATTCATTCTTCTACGAAGAATAAAATAACTATACATATATATATATTTTAACCGAACAATCTTAAAATAAGTATTTATATTCTTGAGTTATCATTAAAAACGAAATGCTTACTTTTATTATCATGGTGGTAAATTTATTTTTAGATTTCAAACATATTCTTTCTACTTATTCGACAGTTAAGTTAGAAAAAAAAACATAATTTGTTTGATTTACATTTTTATTTTTTATATAAATGTCAATAAATAATACATTATTGTGCTATTTGCATTAAACCTATATAAATACATATGTAGTATGTATAATCATATAAAAATGTATTTTACTACCAAAAATTTCTACTAATAACTTGATATTTGAAATAAATGTTAAGTAATTCTAATCAAATATTATGAATTGCATGATGTATTTTACTACCTACACAAAAATAATTTTATTTTAAATTGTATAGATAATATTTACGCACAAAAATTTAACCAAAATAATAAATTCATCACATGTTATTTTAAATAGATCGATTTTGATACATTATTTTAGTTTATTTAAAAACTGATTTTAATCTCTTCCTGGCGTACAAGCATATCATCATAAAATGTATATAAATCATATACTTCATACAATAAATATTTATTTTTATCTAGTAAATAATTGAGGCTAAAACACGTTAATAGTTTAAAAAGAATAATAATTAAATAAATAAACATTTATTTTATATATAGAAATAAAATGAAATAAATACTTAGCCTTAAGTATTATTATATCAACAAAGTACGACCAGTTTCGAATTAAAAATTCATCATCAGGTATATACAAAGTCGATAAAATTGTGACTGAATATGAAAAAAATAAAGGAAGGAATACATTAAAGAAATTGGTTTTTTTTTACAGAGATAATTTTTTTTAATAGGTGAGATTATTTAGAATGAATTCTTATTAGTCGTTGATGTGTTAAGAAGTATAAATACTTTAGTTATTATTTATAATCGAAAATATATTGATATGATATTATTTTTATAATCGGTTTGTACATTTAAAATATTATCATAATTTTTTATTTTTTTATTTATTTATAAGTGTATAATTCTTTTAATACTGAATTAATGTAAATGTATTTTGGGTAATAAAAGTTACACATACACAGTAAAATAAAGAAAAATAATTTTGATTATATTTTAAATGTACAAACCTATAATAAAAATATCTTCAATACATTTTAGATAATAAAAATAATAATAACCAAAATATTTGTATTTCATAACAATTCTATGCAAAGCATTGATTTATTTCTATATATAAACTATTTGTTTATTAATTTATTAATTTACGAGTATTAACCATTTGATTTTTTCTAATTTTTTTTTCCTTATTATGAAAAGATCTTTGGAATTTTATACATAAAAATTGATTTCCATATTTAATAAACCACGAGAACAATTAACATTAATGTTTTTTTATAATTTTAAATTGAATTCTAGAATTTTGAACCTGGCTATTAATTTAAAGTGGTTGTTAAGTATTTCAGTAGTTTTTTTGGAGAGTTTTTGACTTGTTCTAGTATAATGGTATATTCGGCATTCTGTAAGTATATATTTGATGGTAACTTGTAGTCCATATTCTGAGCAAATCGAGGGTTCTTCCTAAGGCATTAGATAACTATGTAAGATTTTCGTGTGTCCGGTTCTAAGTCTTGTTAATAAAAATTCGTATTTTCTAGGTATTCCGATGGGAAATCTCCAACTATCTATGTTGTGCTTTACTTTTTCGTTTAATTTGATGTGGAATGAAGTCCATTTTTGATGCCATGGTTGTTGGAATGTGTTTATGATTATTGCTTGGATGTCTTTGTACGAGGTGATTTTTGTGTACAATGAAAATGAAGAATTTATTGCGGTCTTGGCTGTGAGGTCACTGTGTTCTTTTTCTTTTATATTCTAGTATCCGGGTGTCCAAAACAATTTTATTTTGTAATTGTTATTATTTTGTTGAATATCAATTTTGTTTTAAATGTGCATACTTATATCTGATTGGTTGTAAGTATTTTTTATACTCTTAATTGCGCTGAGAGAATCAGTAAAGATGATGGTGTCTTGAAGGAGGTGTTCAGTTACTAGCTAGAGTGTTTCAAATATGGCGATGGATTCTGCTGTGAAAATTTAGCAGGGATTTGGAAATTTGTACATAGATTCCGTGTTGTTTCAAATAATTGCATCTACTATTATTTTATTAAAAAAATTAACTTTATAAAGTTGCTTTTATAACATGAAAATAAACTTCTATGTGAAAAAAAATGTTTATAATAAATTAAAGCTAAGATAAAAGCTATTAATATAGCATTGAAATTTAATACTGATATCTGTATAAATTATGCTTTATTGTTGTAACCACAATTATCTTCGCTGTACATATTGTAATTTTCTTTGTTATTCAAACAATGTGTTCTTATGCTGAGTGTTTGTTCTAATATTTTCAGGCTTACGTATATTCATAAGATTTAAAATATCTTTCATTGCCATCATAGTAGGTAATTAACTATTAACTTACTTATATAAATATTTTTCTGTCATTTTCAATGCAAAATACTTATCAAATTTTTTTCTAAACCTAAGAGTAATCATTGAAAGTTTTGTCGTGAGTCGAGATGTCTTCGGCACGACGCACAATAATAATATAATAATATTAATAATAAAACTTTGATGTTGTTACACCAAACACGCTATTGAATAAAAGATAACCGACAACGTAAATTCGGATTCGAAAGATTACCTACTCTCATTCGTAGATATGTAACACAATGAAAATTAAATAATGTACAAAAGTTATAATGTTAGACATAAAAAAAAAAAATGATGTACCGACGGTGGTGTCCTCGTACACGGTCGGGAAAGAACAGACCGGAACGGACCGGTTCGATAGTGTTGCCGTGCGGACGTCGTCGCGACCGTTCGCGTCCGCTGATCATT